CATATGGGATCCCGGGTGTGCAAGGCGAGGACCTTTAACCACTTGCGCCACCGCGCCGGGCCCATCTTCTAAGTTTTTTAAAACTTTATATAAAATTAGAACAAAAATCAACTTTGGGGGGCCAGCATTGTGGTGTAAAAGATTAAGCTGCCATATGCAAAAACAGAATCCCATATCAGAGTGGAGGTCCAAATTCTGACTACTCTGCTTCCCATCTGGCCCTCTGCTAAACGTGCCTGGCATGGCAGTGGAAGATGGATGGCTTCAGCACGTGGGCCACGCCTGTGAGAGATCATCATGGAAGTCCTAGATCCCGCCTTTAGTCTACGCAAGAGCTGGAAGTTGTGACAATTTGGGTAATGAACCAGAGAACCAAACATATTTCTTTTTCAAATAAAAACTCAACGTTACATAATTTTGAGCATAAAAAATAACAAGATGAGGGTGTGCATTTGGCTCAGTGCTTAAGACACTGCTTGTGACACCTGCATCCCACATCAGAGTGCCAGTTTTATGGCCTCCCTCCGTGTCTAACTTCGGCTTCTGCTAATATGCATCTCGGGAAGGCATCGCACTAACTGTCATGGGCACATGGAGACTGAATCACTCCATGGAAGACGTTTTGATCTTGCCTTTGCTCGTTCCACTGTGCCCTCCTTCTCTTTCAATGCCTTTCAAGGAAAATGAAAATGGAACTCCTTCATACGGATATCAATCTCACATACCTATGAGAGTACTAGAGGGTAATCCCATGGGCTATTACTGATGTTTTAAAACCAATTTTACCGATTATAGATAAAAGGGAGCCTTTGTACACGGCAACTATATCTAGGTATGTAGTAGGAACTGGTGACAGATGGTACCTGTTTTGGGTCTCAGATTGTGACATATTTCAATGAACATTAAATTCTTATTCACTGCCTGAGTCAGCAGGGGAATTTTACCTCAAATTCTAGACCAGCTGTCAGGTTTTGTTAATTGGCTTAAACTATCAAATGGTAAGACTTATACAAAACATATTTTCATTTTGTTCACAAGTGAAGTAACATAGTATGAATTTTAATGTTTTTGGAAAAGTATTGACACTTCACTGAGTATTTTCATGGCCAAGAAAGCCTTTTTCTCACAGAAAAAGGCCACACAGAGGCACATGATTTTTTTTAAATGACACCGTTCAAATGTAGCGAACTTTCTTCAAAAACACAAATGATATGAGAAGCTTTGAAACAACTTTTGCAGCCTAGAACTGAGTCTGGATATCATATTATTGTTTAACTCTAGGGTGGATGTTACAGGATACCTTGGAACATATAATGTGTTTCCCCCACCGTCTGGATCTCAGCTTCTGAAATAACCCAAGTAGTTTAACTCACGAAACTTGACACACACACAACTGCAATGTGTACAGATTAGTTACAAAATTTTGTAATTTTAAAATAATTTAAATTTGCTCAGTCAGTAGCTTCTATGAATGGATTTCTTTATGGGTAAGTGCAATAAAGGGGACACAAGTTACTTGTACGAGGTGGTGCAATCAGGATCTGATGGCACAAATTAGCTTTGTAATGCTGTGGCATCTGGCATTTTCCAAATATGTCTGTACAAATAACTCTTTCCCCAGATGTTCTCCTTTAATGTGAACTTCTTTCCTCTCCATGAAGAGATAAAGTCTAACTCATTTCCCTTGAATCTGGGCAGGACTGTGACTGTTTCAACCAAATGAATTTGATAGCATTGACATGAGCTGAAGTTTGAGTTTATATCACATTCACAGAAACAGTCATGTTTATCCTTAGCCTCTGTACCTCGATTCTTATGAAGTCACTTATATGCAGCAGGCCAAACAGCACCAAACGAAAAGGGAAATGATTCAATTATCTAACCCAGATATCAAAACTTCAAATAATGAAGAATTTGGTAGGAGCAAATTGCACTTTCATTCAATTCTAGAACCAAGTCAGCTAGACTTTCTAGTTGAGGGTACAGAAAATGTAGCAGAGAAAAATCATCCCAGTCACTTTCTCACCTACTGATTCCAAATTACATGAGCATAATGGAAAGGATATTTCAAGCTATAAAATATGAAGCTATTCCGCAGATTGCAAAAATGCATGGAAAAATAATTTAGCTTTTATATTTTCCAGTTTGGGGCAACTGTGTATTCCTTGAGCCTTCTTCCTAGTGAAAAATGATGATTCCTTGATATGTTCTATTAAGTAACTACTTATTAAATGGTTATTTTGTACACATCAACAACCTAAATACAAAGGTCATCTTGGTAATCAGAGAGGAAAGACCAGGAACACTCAATGGGTCCCCAGTATCTACATCAAAAGTGATAATTGACTTGTTTTATACAACCAGCAAGAGAGATTGATGTAATCACTGTTCAATTAGGTGTCAACAGTTAATTATTGACTGAAAGAATCCGTCTTTTGATAAAGAAGAAAAATCTATATGTGGAATTACCTGCTTTAATGCTATGTAACCACTGAATTCTCTTTTCAAGATGTGATTAAATCTATCCACTGGCTGCATTTTGAAATGCTTATTCTTCTGTTGTATTTCTCTGTCTTCTCCTTTGCATTCTGGTTTTAAATTACTTATTTACATAAGTAAGTTACTGACAACAGGGGAGAGGAAGAGAAAAGGAGAGGGGTAGAGAAAGGAAGAGGGGGAAGAGAAGATGAAGAGAGGAAACGAGGGAAAGAAATAAAGATCAGAGAGGGGGAAGAGGAAACAGGAGATGGGGGGAAGGGGAGGGAGAAGGAGAGAGGGAGAGAAAGAGAAAAATCATTCACCTACTTGTTCACTTCCTAGATAGCTGCAATAGTCCGTAATGCTGGGCCAGGCTAAAGGAAGGGGCTTCTTCCAGGTCTCCATTTGGGTGGCAGGCACCAAAGTCCATGCATCACTTCCACTGCTTTCTCCAAGCCATGATCAAGGAACCTGTGGTTCTCCTTTATTTTTAAAATACTTTGCCCAAACTCTTTTTGGTAGATTGTTCTCCTCTATTCAGCCTTTGATTATAGGGCCTTCCCTATACTGCTACTCCCTTCTGTTTATGGTGTCTCTCTACACAATCCTTCTGAAGCATCGTGTATATATCCATATCAAATGAGTCACAAGAACTTCTGATTCTAGAATGTCTATCTAGTTGATGACCAAAATGACCATTTTACTTGGATGTCTCAAAGACCTTGGAGTCTCAACATACACAACTCTGAAATAATCACTACTCTTGCCAATTCTTCCACGTATCAGGGCTAGTGAGCCATCTGGAAATCCAATCACCCAATTTAGAGCCCTGGTAATCATTCCAACTTTTCATCACCGATCGTAACTTTTAATCAGTTTATATTAACATTTTTTCATATCTGTATCCTCATAACCCTACCCAATGTTATCTAATGAAAATGTTATATTTAGTCCCTTAGGACTAAAAGCATTACTACCAAAGATAATTTAAAACTGCAAATGTAAGTGCGATAAAATTCTAATCGTCTTCCCATCAGCATCAGAACAATATCACAAATAAAAACCTACCTTAACAATTCTGTAGAAAAATGGAGTAAAATTTTGATAAATGCATATTTTTGATAATGTTTCCTCCTAACTTTTTAAAGAATCCTTTCTATATCCAATATTTTTACACTCATATATTAAGATACATGCAACTTCTCAACTCTACCATTGGGAGTCATAACAATGAAGAAAATGATGTCTTATATTCTCCCCTTAGGACATTCTAATCAATAAAAAGCTACCTTTTAATGACAAATGATAAAGAAGTGAATATACTGTAAAATGAATTCCAATAGATATGGAATAAAAACTGAATAATATAATTACTTAACAATATAGTATATGCATATTAACTGAGGAATAAACATTCAGTTTTAAATAATTATAACCAAGTATAACATCAATACTAATAGAAACTGATTCACTGAGTTAAAATTATGAAATATTAAATTAGACATAGATAGCAGTTAATCAGATTGAGCAAAGTATATATAAATTCTGAGTATTTCATTTGAAAACTAAATTCTTAAAAAAAAAAGAAAAAAAAAGAAAACTAAATTCCTAATATTAGGTAGGTGTAACTTCAACTAGAAGATAATAAAATTGTAACAGGACCTTTAATGTTCTTTTACTTTGATCTTATAAAGTCCTCAGTAAAAGGTTTTCATGGAGTTCCTTTGCCACCAAAAAAATCTCATTTCTCAAAACACATGACATACTTCACCAATCAACAGCATGTTTTGTTTTTTGTTTGCTTATTTGTTTTCAAACTAGGCAGAAACTTTTCATAAATGAGAATAATTTCTCTTGTTTCTCATATACCAACATTAACTGATCAACTTTTGTCTTACAATTTTTTTAATTGATTTGAAAGACTGAGAGAGAATGAGAAAGTGACAGAGAAATGTTTACTGCCTCAAGGCCTGTAACAACTGGGACTGAACCAGGCCAAAGCCAGGAACTAAATCCAGATTCCCCACGTTGGTACAAAGGGTTCAACTACATCTGTATTTACCTGCTCACTCCCACGGTGTGCATTAGTAGGAAGGCAAAATGGCAAGTGGAGCTGGAAACCTGAACTCAAGCACTCTGATATACAATGGAGGAATCTCAAATGGTGGCTTTCCTGCTGTGCTGACAATCACTACTCCAATAGTTTACAACTGTAGGTCCAGAACCTCATGGAAGGCTCACAAGGATCTTAGACTTGTCCTTTCTTTTTAAATTGAAGTATTGTTCCAAGTAAACTATGTTTTACAAGACTGATGTTTCAGAATAGAGAAATGAATTTGAAAAATCTACAGCTAATTTCACCACTATAATTAAAAAAATGTATTACAACATCTTTCAATTAGCAATCATTTCAGAGGAGCGAGCGAACAGTTTAAGGTTTGGAAGAATAGAAAAGACTAGATAATGGTGAAAACGCACAATACTGAGTTTTATAAGACTATTGGAAATTCAAATGTACATACAGTTAGTTTTTGAAGACTTGAGAGCATTTCATTTTGATCCTTAAAGCCAGTTGTATGAATCTTATTCACTGCGTCTTCTTTTTCTGAAAGCCATGTACTGAAAAGGCACTGAAAGAAACCAAAAAATTCCAAAGAATGAAAGAGTAATTATTTAAAAGCTGGTGATATCATGGAAGTTAGAAGCATAATGATTACCACAAGTTGGGGAAAGGAAAGGAAAGGGAAGAGAAGAGATCACTGGCTTCTAATTTATGGTTACATAGGAAGAAGTTGTTGGGTTCTTTTTTATAGTAGAACGACCATAGACAATGTTAATAGACTGCATCATTCTTTGATTAAAAAAACAAAAACAAGAAAAACCTAGATGCCAGGATTTCAGATGTTTTGCCATAACATTATATTAGTCGATTGGGCATTATCCAGTATATGAAGCACCACATGGCATCCCACAAATCTGTACAATTTTGTTTTAATCACTGCTGATATTCATATTTTGTACATTTTTCTTTGCTTGCCAATTGAACATTATCCCATACTTTTCTCTGCCACAGCTTCTCCTGCACGACTCACCTGTTCCTCAGTAAAGCGCTGCCATTTGAGAAGAATGTCTTGCAAAAGAACCCAGCGATCTTCTGTCCACCTACAAATATTTGCCCATCGATCTCCCAGTCCCTGGTAAAAAGACAACCAACCACCACATCAGCAACCAATCATTCTTTAACTGATACCGCTTAAAATGGCAGGAAAGAGTTCGCAAAGGGTGTCCTTTCTGCTTCTGTTTATCATCTTGTAAGCAATGGGCCTTTCACTTGTTTAATTAGATTATTTCAGTCTTTCATTATTCATTGAAACAAGCAAGCTATTTATATACCATTTGAAATATTCATTGAATCATTATAAATGTCTCTACAGAAAATATAACACAGCAAAGATGTTAATATGTAGAGTGTATGTCAAATGAGAACATGTAAAATATTATGAAAATAAACCACAAAGGTCTGAAATGAAGCTTGATTAATAAACAGAATGCTTAGGGCTCCTCTTTAAAAAATTCCTCCATTGCAATTACATAAAGTCTGAATTGAAGAAGGAAATTTTCATTCATTTTAATCACATTGATAATTAGATTCAAATTGCCTGCATTAACCACATATTGAAATTATTTCTTTCTGAATTAGTAAAAAAAAAAGTTTCAATATCTGATAAGCAATAGCTGCCATTCCTTTAGCGCACATCTCTCAGGTTTAGGTGGAATACTATTTCAATATGTGATTTGGACCAAAATACTGACAAATTTTCATGAAAAAATATATTTTGATGATGCCTATGTGAAAGGAACATTTGCAGGTGAACATGTCCTTTAATTCTACTATGATCATTAGAACCTAAAATTTCAACTTTGTAAGGACTTTTTCCACACAAATATTTTTCTCACAGTTATTGGATTTTCACATTTAGAAATACCTTGAAATGTATTTTGTTTCACACAGAATGAGAGGAAAAGTATTTGCAACTACTATTTTTGAAAAAACTTCACCATTGGTCTCCTTTGAATTTCTACTTCTCTCAAGACCATGTTTGAACAAATCCATCCAGAAGATGCTGAGTGGGACTTGAACGATACACACAATTTGTATGAAAATAGCTGCCAAGTCCTAGCTAGCTGTGATGTGTACATGATTTTAAAACTCTTTAATCTACCATCATTTCAAGCAAATCCTTTGCATGCATAAGTTGTAGACAGTGCATATTTTTTACTACTACATTAAAATAAGCATATACAAATATGCAACTCTGTCAAACACCAAAACAGTCATACAAGAAACCCACAGGAATCATGCCAAGTTAAACAAATGGATCCAACCATTTTAATGACTTAATTATTACAAACATGAGGTTTTTTTCTAAAACATATTCAAAGTTTAGTGAATTTTCCAGCTACCCACTTAGTATACCTCAGGTAAAATGACATATAATACGTTGGGTCGCAAGTTGAAGTTGAATTTTTATTAAACCGATAAAATCTTTCCCTTTAAGCTATACCATTTGCCTGATTAGGTAAAGTTCATATAAAACATCAAAATAAAAAATATTTAGTGTAATCTAACAACTTCAGAAGAGATATGAGCCATAAAGAGGAAGAACAAGAGACTCAACTGTAGCATGCTCGTCATGAATGAAATAAAACAGACTGACATGTAGATCCAGCATCTTTCTAGAAGTACAGGATGTTCAAAAGCAGTATCCACTGGAGTAGCACTTGACTTTAGTTACCCCATAGACAGAAAATCGTAATTTGTTCATTTTAGTATGGCATCTTATAAAACTACAAGTAGTATCTCTAATAGTCTAGATTGTTTAATATACTTAAATTTATTAAATTCTGGAATATATTGTACTATGTTTTTCACTATACCGAAATTTTGTTTTAAAAAAATGATCATCATTTACTCTTTGGAGTACATGATCAACCTACAGGACTAATCATGACTAATTTTAAGTCATTAAAATTGTCCTTTATATTAAAATAATGACTGCAGATAATTATTGATAATTCAATGTAATAAGTTTATGACATACCAGATATTTACCTTGCAGGTCATAAGCTTCCAATTAATTCAATAAACAAAAATTTAGGTAAATTTCTACCACAAAGAGAAAGGATGTTTACAAACTAAAATCTATCCTCAAAATTCATATTGAACTCGTATATATTGAAATATATATATACACACACTCACATATACACCTCATAATGAGGCAATATTTGGCAATCAGGGATTATATGGACATGAGGCTCCAGGCTATGCCCTATACCAGTCTGAATGGCATCCTTCAAAGGGAAGGATTTCAGGAAACAGACAACAGAGGAGTGTGCACCACGAAGCCATGCCTCGTGAGCACACTGGCTGCAGGCAGCCATCTGCAAGCTGCAGCGTCCCGAGAAGAAAGCGACACTCTGACCTTGAAGGCAAGCCTCTGAGAGCCTGAGAACACACATTTTTGCTGCTCAAGGCAGCTGTTCTATTATACTTTACAAAAAAGAAATTGTGGGTTCCCCCCCCCCCCGTTACCTATCTATCTAAAAGAGTATGGAGGAGAGACAGAGATCTTTCACCTGCTGATTCACTCAAATGGCTGCTCTCATGTGGGATGCCAGCATTATAGGTAGCAGCTTCACACACACTGCCAAACACTGGCCCCAACGGTTCCTTACAGTAGCCCTAGCAAACTAATATAAAATATATATTTGAGATACTGATCCCTCAATAAATTTAGTCAACTCATTAAACATGTATTTCTTTCAAAGAAAACTACTCCACTAAGGAAGATATATTAAAAAGTGTTTTCAAATAACAGGTCAGACTTGAATATTAGAGGTAACTTATTAGGATTTATTTCTTATTAGAAAATCATATTTACAGAGGAGAGAGAGAGAGAAAGATATTCTATCTTCTGGCTCACTCCCCAAGTGGCTCCAAATACCGGAGATGAGCCCATCCAAAGCCAGGAAATTCTGGGTCTCCCACATGGGTCCAGGGTCCAAGGCTTTAGGCTGCCCTTCACGGCTTTCCTAGGCTGCAAGTACGGAGCTGGATGGGAAGTGGGGCCACCAGGATGCAAACCAGCACCCATATGGGATCCTGGCACATGCAAGGTGAGGACTTTAGCCACCAGGCTATTGTGCCAGGCCTGTCTTGTTATGCTTGATCACATTTTTTAAAGCATCTCTTCCAAGGGTCATCTATTTTTACTTTATTCTCCCTAAAAAGGCAGTTAATTTTTACAAATATACACTTAATCTTCAAAACATATTGTTTAAAGGTGTATTCTTTAATACATTCCTCAATACATAGCTTACAGGTGTCTTATTCTGAGAAGACCTGTAATGAATGAAACCGAAGTCATTTCTGTTATAATGTGGGCATAGTTCTTATTACTAATCTCAGTGTAATTAGATAAATGAATTTAAAATTGCATACTCATACACTGTACACATCTGTCCATATATATTTTGGCAATGCTCAAAGTAGAAGCCAAAATAAATACACAGCATGCATAAATTTATGACTATCCCTGTTTACTGCTGTGGAATGTTGGCCTTAATTTGAATTTCAAAGGATGAAACAAGGCAATTGGAAGATTATCAGTCATGTCTAGAATCACTGAAGGATATTGGTCACTGGTATTGCCAGAACATGTGTAAACAAGAGTCAATCATAAGGGATTAAATCCAATTGGGCTGATGAAAAGCTAAAGAATTTTTAAAGAACAACTTCTACATTAGGATGAGGCAGCACTTTTCTAGAAAACGTGATACATGCTCAGTGTTTCAGTTTCTATTTAACCAAAGGAATGTCTTCAGGTTTTGGAATTCTAGCCTAATTTTTGGAGATAAACAAAAACATAAAAGAAACTGCAAAGAATTTCAATATCCTGTGAAGCTAGAAAAAATTTTTATTTATGTCCTTTTGTCTCAGCAGTAAGAGGAATGAAAGGTCATTTCCCTTACTCTAATATATTTCCATGAACAAGCTCACTGCTCCATTATCATCCATTCTCAGATCCTCAAACAAGGAAGGATTTTTCCCTCCCATTGAATTCCCATCTCATATTGTTATCCATGCCAAGAATGTTTCTCATCTGAATGCCTTTATTTGGTTGAGCCGGTCTTTCAAAGCAAAAGTGAAAAATGGATAGCAAAAGAACATCTGGGTTAAGGCAACTGAGGACAATTTGACAAGCCTGAGGGCTAAAAGTGAAGTGTAGTGACCTTTGAATTCGCAGCAGCTTGTGACAGCACACAAGAGCTAAATGGTGCCTGTCAGAATTGGCATTAAGAGATCAAGTGTTCCCAGACATGTGTCAACTGAGGAAGAAGCAGTTAAGTGTCATGTGTTGCACCATGCCACAGCAAGTGGGCTTTATGCAAGAGCAAGGCTGCGTGCAGCCCATCTCATATGACTAGCACCCTATAAAATGCTCCTCAGCTAAACTAATGTATACAATTGTTTTTACTTCTGTAATAAGCCTTCTGAAGAAAATATTTCTTCATTTTTCTTACTCATTAAGCAATTATGTATTAAAGGAAGAGCAACTTTGTTTTACTAGTGGGAAAAAGGAAACCATATTGTAAGAAATGAAGGGTGAAATCTGATAGAACTGTGCTAACAAATGTCTAGGAAAGTCTGATTTTGTATGTTTCTCCCAAGTATGACCATAGCAACATACCATAAAATGACATGCCTTATAGCTTCACGAACACATGGCATATTGTGGAAAACTGTATTTTCACATATTAGGAAACACAAGGGGGGATTCTTTTTTAATTTTTATTTTTCATGATACAGTTTCATGGGCACAGGGATTTTCCTTCCCACCATTTCCACACCCTCCTCCCAGGCCATCCTCCCTATATAATATGGTCCTCTAGTAATACTCACAAAGCCATCATCCTGCTCTTTAAGTGTATCATGGCATTGTAGAGAGAATACTGGACTTTCTGCCATTGTCTGTCAAGATGAGACAACGTTCTTACCTCTACTGCAATGAAACTGATACCTCCCGACTTAGGGAATGAATGACTGCCACTTTTAAGCATGCAGCTTGCAGTTGCAAAAGTACTGATCAGATGGGTTCGGTTACTCGTTGAAGACAGTATGGAGTGCCTG